CCCGGGGCCTGTCTTGGGGCTTCCTGCTGGCCTCTCTTGGGACCTCACGCTCGCCTCGTGGGGCCTCGCGGGGCCTCTCGAGCGCAGTCCCAGGGTCCTTGACGCCGACCCGGAGCCGCCTGGCGACCTTCGGAGCGCCCAGATCGGCGGCGCGGCCCGAGCGGAGCCGGCAGCACACGGATGCCAATCTCGCACGCACGACCCCCAGCGCTGCGTAGGGTCAAAACTGGTAGTAAGGCTAAGCCGGGCGTGTCCCCCTACAGGGGGATCTTTTGGGCGAGAAACAAAAGATAGTCAGAAAATATCCCCCAAATTGGCAAAAATAGCAAACAAAAAATCGTCCCCAGATTATCTGTTGACCATTTTGTCCTACCTAGGCTCTGCCTAGAAGGGTTCTTACTGTGTATGCTTAAAGGGGCCGGGCAGTGGTCCTCACCCCAGGCGGTTCCCCCAGCATCCGCCCCGCGGTTCCCCCAGTTGCGTCCCCTTAGCTCAGCGTTGCTTATCTCATCTTAGCTTAGCTTAGCGTTGCTTAGCTTAGCTTAGCTTCATCTTAGCTTAGTTTAGCTGTAGCATAGCTTAGCCTAGCCTAGCCTAGCATAGTTTAGCTTAGCTCAGCTTAGCTTAGCTTAGCGCAGCGCAGCATTAGCATAGCATCGCATAGCATAGCATAGCATAGCATTAGTATAGCATAGCATAGCATCACATATCACAGCATAGCATAGCATAGCATAGCATAGCATAGCGCAGCATAGCATAGCAAATCATAGCACAGCGCAGCATAGCATAGCATAGCATAGCAAAGTTTAGTTTAGCACAGCACAGCGCAGCATAGCATAGCATAGCATAGCATAGCGCAGAATAGCATAGCATAGCGCAGCATAGCATAGCATAACACAGCATAGCATAGCATAGCATAGCATAGCATAGCGCAGCATAGCGCAGCATAGCATATCATGGCATAGTCTAGCATAGCATAGCATAGCGCAGCATAGCATAGCATAGCATAGCGCCGCATAGCATAGCGCAGCATAGCATAGCCTAGCATAACAATGCGCAGTCTAGCATACCCTAGCATAGCATAGCATAGCATAGCGCCGCATAGCGCAGCATAGCGCAGCATAGCATAGCATAGCATAGCATAGCATAGCATAGCATAGCATAGCGCAGCATAGCATTGCATAGCATAGCATAGCATCAAAGCAAAGGCAAAGCAACAGCAGCAACAGCAAAGCAAAGCACAACGCAAAGCAAAGCAAAGCAAAAGCAAAAGCAAAGCAAAGGAAAGGCAAAGCAAAAGCAATGTGCGACAAGTGCCGAGCTAGCCTCGATGGCCGGACCGGAGCCCCCGCAAGCAGTGCTGAACAGCCTGCAGCTCTTGCAGGAGCCGCGAGCACTGTTGAACCTAGTGCAAGCAGTGCTGAACAGCCTGCAGCACTTGCAGGAGCCGCGAGCAGTGCTGAACAGCCTGCTGTCGCTGGGTGCACAGCAAAGCAAGACAAAGCAAAGCGCAGCATAGCATAGCATTGCTTAGCTTAGTTTAGCATAGCACAGCGCAGCATAGCATAGCATAGCGCAGCATAGCATAGCATAGCATAGCATAGCATAGCGCAGCATAGCATAGCATAGCATAGCATAGCATAGGAGCATAGCAGCGCAGCATAGCATAGCATAGCATAGCATAGCATATAATAGGTGTAGATGTAGATGTAGATGCATGTGTACATGTAGATCTAGCTGTAGGTGTAGATGTGGATGTAGGTCTAGATGCAGATGTAGGTATTAAGCTGTACTGTTACTACTACTACTACTACTACTACTACTACTACTACTACTACTACTACTACTACTACTACTACTACTACTACTACTACTACTACTACTACTACTACTACTACTACTACTACTACTACTACTACTACTACTACTACTACTACTACTACTACTGACTACTACTACTACTACTACTACTACTACTACTACTACTACTACTACTACTACTACTACTACTACGACTACGACTACTACTACTACTTACGACTACTACTACTACGACTACTACTACAACTACTACTACTACTACAACTACTACTACTACTACTACTACTACTACTACTACTACTACTACTACTACTACTACTACTACTACTACTACTACTACTACTACTACTACGACTACTACGACTACTATCGACTACTACGACTACACTACTACTACTCGACTACTACGTACTACTACTACTACTACTACTACTACTACTACGACTACTACTACTACTACTACTACTACTACTACTACTACTACTACTACTACTACGACTACGACTGCGACTACGACTACTACTACTAAAACTACTACTACTACTACTACTACTACTACTACTACTACTACTACTACTACGACTACTACTACGACTACTACTACTACTACTACTACTACTACTCCTCCTCCTCCTACTACTACTACTACTACTACTACTACTACCACTACTACTACTACTACTACTACTACTACTACTACTACTACTACTACTACTACTACTACTACTACTACGACGACCGTTATTGCTACAACTGCGACGATGTGGAGAAGGAGGAGGACGGCGTTTACCGTTACTACTAGTATTGTTCTCCTCGGGGCTCCACCTCCTAGGTAGGGTCGCTCTGGGATAATGTATATTCCTCCTGTAGAGGGACAGGCCCCACATAATAGTTAGGATGCGCGACAGGGATGCAAGACCCTTGGACGCCCGTGTCGAAGCCTTCTGAGCGGGGCTGGCCATCGAAAGCGGTTCAGGATAGACCGAAGAGGCTAGGATGCAAGGGTACCTTTGGGAAGGCTGCCCATCCATATTCTCTGTTTCGACTGTATCAGATGGTGTCAGGCTCCAACTCCACCTCGCACATCTCGCTGAGCAGCGCCAGAACACGCTGCCACTGCTCGCCGTTTCTGCACGCGCTGATCCCAGCTTGGTAGCAGATGACGTTGGGCTCCAACTTCGCCCGCCACATCTCGCCGAGCAGCGCCAGAGCCCAATGCCACTGCTCGCCCTTCTCGCACGCGCTGATCCCAGCGCTGTAGCTGACGAGTGCGAACCCGTGGATTAAATCCACGGTGTGCTGAACCTGGGACTCGCACGCCGTGGGTGAACAGCTCGTCGAAGTTGAACAGCTCGGGCGGCCCTGGGGTCGTGTCGAAGGCATGTCGGACCCTCCTGCGAGCCTGCTTGGGGCGTCTTGTAGGCCTCTTGCGGTGTATGGGCGCCTCTGGGGCCGTCCCCAGGCTGCCCCCCAGAGCTTCTTCTGGGGGACAGCCCGGGAAACTGACTGTGCGTGCGTGCTGCGAGGTTGCCATCAGAAGGCTCCCCCCTATCATCCCTGAGGTCAGCTGCAGGGCTTGCTGCAGGCTCCAGGAGCCAGGGCTAGAGGCTGTCTTCGAATATCCTGGGTGGGGTCTGCGCCATCTCAAAGTGCTCCAGGGAGGGGTCTCGTGATCTTGAGGCTGTCTTGGGCGCCACCGAGGGCTCTACTCGGCCGTAGGGGGGTAGCGAGATGGTGGTCCCCGCAGTGTCTGCAGGTCCCCCCCCCCCTGACACCCCTAATCGGCCGTAGAGGGGGAGCGACCGAAGTGGCTGCAAATTCCCCCTGCCACCCCTAACAGGCGGAGAGAAGGCCTCAGAGCGGCCGGAACCTCGATTAGGAAGGAGAAAAAGATCAGAGGAGAAGGTCCCCTCTGTCACCACTGATCGGCCGTAGGGTGGAGGTCTTGAGGGCGACTCTGGGCCAGTGGTCCTGGGATCGCTCTTGGTGGGAATCTCTTCCTGGGATCGCTCTCGGGAGCTCCGTGGGAACTGTCGGAGTCTCTTGGCAAGGGTCCGAGTCTTGTGGGCGACTCTGGGGCACCTCGGAGTGGCCCTGGGATCGCTCTTGGAAGTTCTGTGGGGACTATCGGAGTCTCTTGGGGGAAGGCTCTCGGGCATCTCGGAGTGGTCTGGGGCCTGCATTGGGGGTCTGCGGCTTTTTCGGGGGCGTTTGAGGTTCGAGGGACGGCGAAAGGGTGACGTGACTCGAGGCACCCTCCTTGGCAACTCCTGGGGAACCATCGGAGTCTCTTGGGAGACTCTGGGGCATGTGGGAGTAGTCCTTGGAGGGTTCTTGGCCTATTGGGGGCTGCGGTAAGGGCGTCGTACGGGCTCCCTTCGGCCCCTCTTCGAGCCCTTGTAGGGGTCTCTCCAGAGCCTCCAGGGTCCCTCTTGGCCCCTTTGGGGGGCTTTATTGGGCCGTCTGGGGCGCCTCGTGAGCCGTCCTGGGGCCATGTAGGAGGTCTCGCGCCGTCTGGGAGCTCGCTTTGGTGGCTTTTGGACAGCTCATGGGGCCCTCTTGGGGCTCTCTTCGGAGCCACCAGTGGCTCCATGAGGCTGTCTTGGGCTTCTCCTGGGCAGTCTTCGGGCCCTCTGGGGCCGTCTTGGGGCGAGCTGGGATGGCCCTGGAGCCGTCTGGGGCCGTTCTTGGCCCGAAAAAACACCTTGGAAAATACATGGTTTTAGCCTCGGGGACCGTCATCGAGGTCCCACTGGGCCGTCTTCGGAGGCACCTGGCCCGCCGTCGGGCCGTTCTGGGCTGCCGTGGATCTCCTTTCGGGCTCCTGGGACGTCCTCGCGCCCTCCAGAGCGTCTCGGAGCGGTATTTGACGACCTACCAGACCACCCCAACCCAACCCGAAGACCCGAATTTCGGGTTGGGGGGGTAAGGGTTCCACATGTGTTTTTTCGATGTTTCCCGACCCCCCCCCCACTGGAAATCGAGGGTGAATTTGAGCCTTCGGGTTGGGTTGGGGTGGTTTGGTGGGTGGTGAATATTTGGGCTGCCTGAGGCTGGGTTGGAGCCACCGGGGGGGGCTCTCGGGAGCCGTCGGAGAGCGGCGGGGCCCTCTGGGCGGTCGGGGGCAGCCGGCGCAGTGCAGGCGCGGCTCGCACGCGCAACGACCAGCAGTGCAGTACAGATCACGTCAGGCTCCAACCTCGCCTCACGCATCTCGCCGAACAGCGCCAAAGCCCGCTGCCACTGTCCGCACTTTTCGCACGCGCTGATCCCACCGTTGTAGCTGACTGGGGAAAACCTGTGGATTGATCCAGAGGGGGAGCAAGAGAGGAAGGCTAAGGGAGCCAGGAGGGGGCGGATGCGGAGGCGCGTAGCAGGTGAAGCCGCGGAGCTCAAATGTCGCGATGACGCTTCGCTCGAACTGCGCCCGAGCAGAGGAGGAGCGAGCAGAAGTGGGGCGGAGGAAGGGAAAGAGGACAGGGAGGAAGAAGGACGGCAGCGGCCGCCGACTCCAGGCTTCCCCTCTCTCGCACGGACGCACGCGTCCTGGAACACTAACAGAGAAGGCGTCGGGCTCCGACTTCGCCTCCCGCATCTCGCCGAGCAGCCTCAGGGCCCAATGCCACTGCTCGCCCTTCTCGCACGCGCTGATCCCAGCGTTGTAGCTGACTAGGGCTGACCCGTGGACACCGTCCACGACATCTTCCTGGAATGGTTCTCGGAGGAACGGCGCAGATTGTACCGAAAATCTACAAACACGGCGGCGGCTCGGGCGGCGGCAGCGAGACCGCGCCTTCGTGTCCGAGCTCTTGCAGCGCTCCAGCAGCTTGGCCCAGCGAACTGCTCGTTCACCCCCCTCCTATTGAGGACAGTTTCGAAGTCTCTCGGGGATGGACGTCGAAGTCGAAGCCCATCTGAGGCGTCTCAGGAGCGCTCGGGGAAGGGCTCGGGAGGTCATCGGGGAAAACCACCGAAAGCGCCGGGGAGGCTCGCCAGGATCTACAGGGAGGGCCCAAGAGAGTTTCAAGAAAACTTGAAATTCTGTACAATCTTTAGAGAAACCGCTGTAAGGTCGGCCATCACCTCCGGGCGCGCCTTGATGGTGCGATCAAGTCGCATCACCGCCAACGGGAGGGTGTGTTCGCCATGTCTCATTCTGTTCGCCCAGAGTGTCTGTGGAGGCCTTCGGGCGAACAGAAAGGGACAGGGCAAGGAATGGGGAAGACTTGTCCGAATCTCCTGGGCCCCCCAGGTGCTCGTCCGAAGAATGCGGAGAGGTCCCAGGGTCATATCAAGTGGCTGCTGTCCCAGGGGTCTGGTCTGCTTGGCCCGTAGAGTTTGCCAAGGCCCCACGCCATCTTAAGCCATCTTGGCCATTCGCACCGCTCGGGCGCCCCGACGAATCCACGCTCTCCTCCAGGCATCTTGCCATCACCTCGGAGCCTTCGCCTTCCAGAGCCTCGCGGGCTCAAACGGCCCAGCTGTCAGCCGCGCATGCAACCCACCGGAGCCGTCACGACAAGAAAACGTCACCATGCCATGTCAAGTGGCCCCCAAAGGGGTCTGCAAGCACTTTTTCTTAGAAAAATGGTCCGCAGGGCCCTTTGGCGCCCAGAACGAGCCTACAGTAAGCAATAGTGGCCCTCGGAGGCCCTCTGAGAGCCATCTTGGACCGTCCTGGCCATTCGCGCCGCTCGGGTCTTGGAGCGGTCTTGGGGACCTCTTGGGCCGTCTTGGAGCGCAGGGCCGGCGAAAAGGGGAGAATGCGAAAAACATAGAAAAACACAATGGAAATCGACGATTTCTCCCGCTCGAGGCCCTGCTGGGAAGCCTCTTGGGAGGCCTCTTGGGGCCCTTTGGGCCGCCTCTGGGACCGTCTTGGCCCAATCTTCGGCGTCTTGGGCCCATCTTGGGGCGTCCCGGAGCCCTCTGGGGCCGTCTTGGGGGCCTCTTGGGGCCCTCTTGGCGCGTCTTGGGCCCATCTTGGGGCGTCCCGGGGCCCTCTGGGGCCGTCTTGGGCTGCCTTGGGGCGTCTCGGGACCATCTGGGGGCCCTCTTGGCCCGTCTTGAGGCCTTTTTGCGGGCCTCGTCCGTGGTCTTGGAGCGGGCTTGGGGACCTCTTGGGCCGTCTTGGAGCGCAAGGACGGCGAAAAGGGGAGAATGCGAAAAACATAGAAAAACACAATGGAAATCGACGATTTCTCCCGCTCGGGGCCCTGCTGGGAAGCCTCTTGGGAGGCCTCTTGGCGCATTTTGGCCGCCTCTGGGGCCGTCTTGGCCCAATCTTCGGCGTCTTGGGCCCATCTTGGGGCGTCCCAGAGCCCTCTGGGGCCGTCTTGGATGCCTCTTGGGGCCCTCTTGGCGCGTCTTGGGCCCATCTTGGGGCGTCCCGGGGCCCTCTGAAGCCTTCTTGGGGGGCCGTCTTGGGCTGCCTTGGGGCGTCTTGGGACCGTCTGAAGGCCCTCTTGGCCCGTCTTCAGGCCCTCTTGCGGGCCTCGTTGGTGGTCTTGCAGCGGTCTTAGGGACCTCTTGGGCCGTCTTGGAGCGCAGGGACGGCGAGAAGGGGAGAATGCGAAAAACATGGAAAAACACAATGGAAATCGGCGATTTCTCCCGCTCGGAGCCCTGCTGGGAAGCCTCTTGGGAGGCCTCTTGGGGCATTTTGGCCGCCTCTGGGGCCGACTTGGCCCAAGCTTCGGCGTCTTGGACCCATCTTGGGGCGTCCCGGAGCCTTCTGGGGCCGTCTTGGGGGCCTCTTGAGGCCCTCTTAGCGCGTCTTACGCCCATCTTGGAACGTCCCGGGGCCCTCTGGGGCCGTCTTGGGGGCCTCTTGGGGCCCTCTTGGCGTGTCTCGGGCCTGCTACACTTTTTGGTCCGAATCGCCCTTCTCGCACGCGCGGGTCCCTGCATTGTAGTATAGACTAGGGCTGACCCGCGGACTACCGTCCACGAGTGTCCGAGGATTGAGAGTGCGCTCGTTGCTGCTTATTGCTTCAGGGTGGGCTGTTTGCTTGATGATCCTGACGGCGTCTGGAGCAGCGGTAGCAACAGCAGCAGCAACAGCATCAGCAGCAGCAGCAGCAGATCCAGCACCATCGGCAGTATCAGCAGCAACAGCGGCAGCAGCAGCTCCAGCAACAACAGAAGCAACGCGGACCTCCGGGGGCCTCCCGGGGGCCTTTCGTCGTCGTGGTCGTCGTCGTGGTCGTTGTTGTCGTCGTCGTCGTCGGCGTCGTCGCCGCTGTTAGCGTCGTCGTCGGCGGCGTCGTCGTCGTGGTCGTCGTCGTCGTCGTCATCGACGTCGTCGCCATCGACGAGGACGACGCCGAGGACGACGACCACTACGAATAGATTTGTGGGAGAAACCGCACCGCACACCTCTTGGGAAACGCGGCGCGTGGAAGGGGGCATACAAAAAGGTGGTCCCTCGTGTATGTGCGTGGGGCTCGCCAGTGCAATCGTGCACCCTTTCCGCGGCACCAGTGTCCCAAGATGTGTGCGGTACGGTTTTTCTCGCTCAGGCGGGGGGTCCCATGAGATGGATTTGTTTCCGCTCTCGCTGGGCGCGCTCTTTGGTGGGCTGTAGGGATGTCACGAAGCGCCCTGAGGAACAGGGGGCCCACGGAACGGGTTCGGCAGGGCCTCCGTGGAGGTGCTGGCCTACGTCTGCATGCCCTCGGTCGGAAGGGACATGACTGGGTAGTTGTTGCGCCCGATCGAACAAGTCGGCCCTGTGCAGAGCTCGGGAGAAAGAACAAAAATGCGCCGTCAGAGCTGCACGTCGTCAAACCAACGACGCCGCGGCCGGCCTCTGGCACGATGCGGCCGGCTGTTGTTCAGCGCCGCACATGCAATAGGGGACCATTCGTGCGCTAGTTTAGGCAGCGACGGATCAAGGTGGGACATCAGACGACTCAGTAAATGCTTCTTGCGCTTTGATACAACCGAAGACCAATCTGCAATGTAGTGCAGGCGCCTGGCAGATTCGAGCCTCTGCTTCATTCTGCGGCCAGCATCTTCCCACGAATCGCTATCGTCGAACACCCAGCCGACGATTCGCCGGAGCATTTTCCTCTGCGTAATGTCTAGGCGGTCCAGCTGCTTCTGATCCAACGCAAAGTTCCCAGCCCGTATACGCACCGGACATGACTGGGTAGATTGTGCGAAAACTTATGATGGTGTTCCGGAAATCGGGACACGTCAAGAGGACTGGCTTTCGTGCCACACTGTCGAGCCTGTCGTGCCAGCAATGCCGCGTGCTGGAGCAGGCTGTTCCCAGCGGAAGCATCGGGGAAGCGGCGGGGGGGCCCTCCGATACCCGGGAGGGGGTTCTCGTGAGGCTCTGTGGGAGCCTCTGGAGAGCCTCTGGGAGCCTCTGGAGAGCTCTTGGGAGCGCCTCTGGAGCCTTCTGGGAGCCTCTGGAGAGCGCCCGGGGGCCTCTTGGGAGCGCCTCCAGGGCCTTCTGAGGGCCTCTCGGGGGCGTCTTGGAGCTTTGCTGGCCGTGGAGGTGCCCGGAGGGGGGGGGAGCGCTCCGAACCGAACCTTCTTGGGCGTCCCTTGGGGCCGTCTGGGGAGGTTCTTGGGCCGTCTTGGGCCCTCCGGGCCTGTCCTGGGGCCCTCTCGGGCTCGCTGGGGAGCTTCTGGGCGACTCTCGAGGCCTCCGCGTCGGGGCCCTCATGGGCCGTCCCGTCCCTGGGTGCCGCATTAGAGCCTCCCGGGGCCCTCCGGGGCTGTCTGGGATACCTCTTGGGCTGTCTTGGAGCCGTCTGGGGCCCTCTTGGGCGCCTCTAGGGCCGTCTCGGGGCAGTGGGGGGCCGTCTTTAGCGCCTCTGGGGCCGTCTTGGAGCCGTCTCGGAGCCGTCTTGACTCGTTTTGGGACCGTCGCGGCGCTGTCGTGGCAGCCTCTTGGGCTGCCATCGGCGCCTCAAGAGCCATCGTGGGGCCGTCTTGGGGCCGTCCAGGGGGCTTCCAGAGGCGTGGTGGGGTGATCTGGAGGGCCAGTAGGGCCGTGTGGACATCGCAGTGGACGAAAAGCAGTGGACCTGGAAACAGGCTCGTTTTCCTTAGGAATTTCAGCGATTTGTTTTTGATCTGGCTTTTTGGGGGCTCGTCCTGGAGCCGACTTGGAGCGTCTCGGGAGGACTTTGGGGCCGTCTGGCGCCTAGCTTGGGCATCTCGGAGCGCTGCGGGACCTAGTCGGAGCCCTCTTGGGCCGTCTTGGGCGCTCTGTGGCCATCTGGTGCGTCTCGGGCCGTCGTGGGGCGACCAGGGGGGCCGGTTACGCTCCGCCAGCCCCCGCCCCTATCGCACGCACGTGTCCCTGCGTTGTAGTGTAGACTAGGGCTGACCCGCGGCCTCTGGCCGTGGAATTTGCCCGCCCTGGCGTGTACGTTGAAGTGGAGCGTCTCTGGGGCCTCGCGGGTAAGGGGAGATTGGAGGGGACAGCGTGGATGGAGGTGGCCGCTGGAGGGGAAGGTGGGCGAGGGATGCAGGCAAGCAGGCCTAAAGGCAGGAACGCGGTGGTGGAGGCGGTGTCAGTGGAAGCACACCCATGTAGGCATGACATGGTGTGGACAGAAGCTGTTTCTGACGCCGCAGTCTGTGTTCATCATAGCTTCTGCGGGGAAGGTAGCCGTGAGAAGTTGATCTGCTCTTCGCCGGGGCC